GAAAAACTAAGTTAAGGCAGAACACAAAGCCTTCTGAAATATTTACACACATGCACACAGATCTGTACACATACACACACGTCTAGTGTATCTAGAGGCACACAGCCCCCTGCAGACACACCTCTTTGGTGCTGGTGCACATCCCTACTGTTCTCCTGGTCTCCAATTTCAACATTTCATAGAAATTCTTCTCCATCTGAGCTGCCTGGAATGACTCTGCTGACGTTGGGAGTGCTGAGCTCTGTGTTCTCATGGAAATGTGAGAGCCAACCCTCTCCAGCCTGCAAGTCAATCAGCTGATGGTGCTGGCACAACACAAGACACACACGTCCCCCACCAGGACTGTCCTTGCCCAGGCTTCTCGGACCTCTGCTTTCCTCCTGTCTTATAAACACTGACATCTTCTATGTGCAGCCTCTGCTCCTCTCCACTGATCCTCACGTGGTCCTACCTCCATTTCAGAGCCGTAAATGTTTTAGCAAGAGTGTTTTCAAATCAAAAGTTTTGCTCAATCTTTCCGGGAAGCAATTTGCTTTGAGAATCTTCTCCCTCACAAGCCTAACGACTTCAGCCACTTACTGTAATGCTCTCAAATATAAGCTAAACAAAATAATCTTCTAGTCTACAGGAAATCAATGCATTTCCTTCCTGATTACTATCTTATTTCTCAGCTTCTAGCACTTGGCTGATAAAACAATGAGTCAGGGTCAGTCCTACATTTTGCAACTCCCCGTTCTCATCACAGACGTCCTCAGAGAAGGGACTGGCAGCAGGAAAACCAGCTGACTCAAGGGAGAAGAAATGAAACTCCACTTTCTGTGTAATATTTGTGCTCTAAGTTTGTGAGCAGACTGAGGTTAAGCAGGGACCTGAGCCCAAAGCTACATCTCTTCAGGCTCCTTCTGGAGCCCACCAATATTTGTCAGAGTTTTATTTCCTCCCTCCATTCTCCTCTGTCACAATGAGATGGTTTGTTCAAGGCTCCCATCAGCAGAGCTCCTGGTGTCCCTTTGTGCAGGAACACAAGGGAGCTGCTATCTACAGTCTAGATGCTGCATGTGGTGGTCTCAAGTGCAGGCACACATCAGATGTGGGGGACAACAGTGGTGGTACATTTGAGCTGGCTCTGCGAGGAGCACAGACACTTCTGATGGATCAGCATCACCCTGTAACAAATATGACAAGCCTCCATCTCTGCAGATGTTCAAAATCTGCCTGGACACCATCCTGTGCAACCTGCTCTAGGTGAAGGTAGACTAGAGGACCCTTTCAACCCTCACCATTCTGTGATTCTGGAAAGTAACACCAGAGTGATGTGACAGCACACAGACACCCAAACACCACCATGCATGGTCAGGGAGAAGACAAAGCCACCAAGATAGCACCTTAACAAATCAGAAACCCACAAGAAACTACCAGATACTTGTTGAAGGCTTCCACGGGCAAGCAAAACAAAGACAGCCTGAAACCCAGTGGCTGCTCACCTAGGTACCTGCCCCCAGGTTTGATGAGGATGGCGTTCCGGCTCCGCGTCTCCTCCTCCGCCTGCGCCATGCTCTGCCTCGCCTTCTGGTAGGAATCATCCGTGGCACACACAGTGATTTTGTCCTGTATGCTCCCCAGGCAGTCCAGGTGGATATTGCCATTGCTGCCAAAGAAATGCAATGGAAAAGATACTCCCAGCAATGCAGACATGGGAATAACTGGGGCTGTGTTGGCTAAGTAATAGGAGGGGACAGAAAGAAGCTGGGAGGTAAAGAGTTTCTTTCGAGTGCTTCCCTACCCAAATACACACAAACAAACGGGTTAGAAAGACTCTAAAGGGAAAGAAAATACATGAACTTTTCTTCAGGAAAAGATTCTACAGAAGATCTATATGAAAAAAGGGTGGGTTTCCCCTTGCTGCACCACTCACCTCGATACATACTGCTGGATACAGTCAAAGCTCCCCTGGGGGCTGTCCTTGCCAATATTGGAAAGATAAAACGTGAAAGTCCTCACTTCCGTAGGTCGATCAGGCCTTGGAATTGCAATGTGCTGTTTGGAAGAAGAAAAATATTGGTCACTTGGGCAGTCCACATTAGCAGAACGTTCAATTTTGCTGCAGTCACTCTCCTTTATGGGCATTCTGCAACTTGCTGGGAGCGAAGCACACGGGTTGTTACTGCACGGGAGACTGAAGAGCAAGGAGCTACAAGGAGGACTCAAGTTACCCAAACTCTATGCACTGGAAAGATAAGGTAACAGAGGCAGACAGATGTAAAGAACAGCTAAAAAGACAGTGATGTCAGTGACAGGACAGAGGGCTGAGCTGGCAGCTCGGTGCCTTCAAAGCAGAGCCCACAATAATCTTGTTCTAGGAATCTGACCCAATTCTATTGATTCAGGCTCAAATCAGACTTGCTACCACTGTTTATATTCAATTTCAAGCACTTGCAACTCATTTCTTTGGAATTAGTGATCCAGCACTAAACACAGCACAGGCCAGGTCACTAGGTAGCATGCTTATTCTTTTTTAAGAGATTATAATTCCATAACAAGATTTCATGGCTCACAGAAGAGTGTGACGCTGCTGCTAAATTAAATATTTAATCAAGCACTAAGTGTGCTCCCCAGACAACCCTACAGAGACTTGCATTGTTTTTCTCCCCCCAGCCGTTCATTTCTCAAAAGGGAACCTGTTTCCCCTCTACCTTCAAGCCCCAACATCAACCTCAGCCTCTCAGCTCTACTATCACATCAATATTTGATCATTAAGATGGTTTCCAGAAAGTGAGACAGAAGGAACATCAGCTTCAAACCTATTTTAGGCTACAATCTACCACACAGATTTATATTTACTCAGTTTTGCCACATATATGCACAAAATATACATGCCCAGCAAACCAACCCCCGTTGGTTGGAACTGGATGCTCTTTAAGGTCCCTTCCAACCCAAACCAGTCGTGATCCACGTCTGAGTGTGCTCGGCAGCAGATGCTGCTGCTGCAGGAGGGTTTCTAGGTGGTTTCCCTTTGACCTCAGACATCTACAGCAGCCTGGAAACCCAGAGCATCTGTGCCACTTTGATAAACCACAGGGATCTTCTCAGAACCTGCAAGAACCACTTGTGTGACCCGTGCCGAGTGCAGCATTTTCCACTTACTCTTGGTGAGGACCAGCTTCCCTCCAGCCAGCCCTCAGGCTTCCCTGCTTTTGAAACACCCAGCCAACAAACCCAGACTTTAACAATACAGAAGGACAAGTTACCCCCCACTCCTCCCGCACAGCCCCAGGACCTGGATCTAAAAATCCTGGGAGCAGGATTTGGTGGGGATCAGGGCACCCTCCAGCACCAGCTGCCGAGCTCTGTTATCTACTCGGCCAAACGTGCGCCGCAGCCTTGAGCCCTTAATCTGTCCCAGCACCCTCTGCCCCCACCCAGCCAGGACAAATAAAATTCTCTTCTGCTTTACAAGTGAGCTGAGAAGATGCACGAAGTCAAAGTTATGTCAACAGCAGAGTGGGGGGGTTGGACACTTGGCTCTGTTTGCCTGCTCCTTCTTTTGCTGGGAATGGGGCAAGAAGGTGAGAGCAGCTGGTCAGCTGAGCTGCCCAGGGAGCTGTGCTGCACCCCAGGGGCTTGTGAAACCAAAGCAGGAGGATGTAACCAAGTCTTGTAGTCAGACAAAATGGTGAAGGTTGGAAGGGACCTTAAAGATCATCAGGTTCCAACCCCCCTGCCATGGGCAGGGACACCTTCACTAGACCTGGCTGCACAAGCCCCATCCAACCTGCCCTTCAACACTGTCAGGGATGGGGCAGCCACAGCTTCCCTGGGCAACCTGGGCCAGGCTCTCACCACCCTCACACTCCACAATTCCCTCCTCATGTCTCACCTCAATCTCCCTCTCCCAGTTTTCATCCATCCCCCCTTGTCCTCTCCCTCCCTGACCTTGTCCCAAGCCCCTCCCCAGCTTTCCTGGAGCCCCTTCAGGCACTGGAAGCTGCTCTAAGGTCTCCCTGGAGCCTTCTCTTCTCCAGGCTGAACACCCCAACTCTCCCAGCCTGTCCCCAGAGCAGAGCTGCTCCAGCCCTTTGATCATATTAAAATAACTTTTAGGTCAAGAGTTACCCCCATAAAAACCCAACCTTAGTATTTTTGTAGAGTTTCTGCAGCTTCTTGAAAAGACAAAAAAAACAACCAGACAGGAGTGAGAGTCACTTTGGTGTTCAACGTTGCTTGTTCCAGTACTGAAAAAGTGCAGCTCATGCAAACTGCCCGTTATCTAGGAATTATTTTTAGCTGAAACAGAAGGTTTCTCAAGCCACCAAATCAGCATGCCAACTGCTTTGAGGGAGCCCTAATTTTGGTGCTGAGTAGCACACCAGTAACCATAGACTCTTAAAAATAGCTCAGTACAGATGTGACTTCTGTTTTTTGTTTGGGTTTTTTTCTTTCTCTTTCAAGTAATATTCATCTGTGTACAGCTCACTCTGAATGGCAATTTCATCTTCCTCTATTCATACCAGCACAAGTTCATCCCAAAAGTGGGGGAGAAACGTCACATTTTCCAACCATGTAAAGTCAAGACATTTTGTTTCTGACAAGTCATGTTTCAAAAAGCTCCAGAAACACACGGATTTGGCACCTGAAGGGGTTCTTCCCTCCCCCCCCCAAGTTTTCCCTACTCCCTCCACCACCCAGTAAACACCTGCAAGTTTAACCCAACCTCATCTCCAATTCTGCACGTTTTTACTGAAACAGAAGCATCTTCAACCCCTCTTGTAAAGTTATGCACTTCAACCACCACCCTTTGTAAACGCTTGGGTACTCAAGCTCTTCAATTCTAATTTACATGCACATTGAAACCAGCAAAGTGCTCCAGATTTCACAGAAACTTACAAAAACTACCCAAGAAAATCCAGCTCGTGATAAAAAGGAACAAACAGATGCTGCTCTTACAGAATACACAGATAGTCCCACTTCAGCATCTCAAAGCTGAGGAACACTCTGCTAATTAGGACCTCGTTACTGCTATCGAAATTCTGGTTATTGCACAGATTATTGCACTGAAAAAGTAATTAACAAGACTGGCTTTGCTGTAAGGAAATGCATCCCAAGGCAAAGATAATTTACAGTCCACGGGTTATAAAAACTCTCATGAGATTTGACCCAGACCAGGATCCATGCAAGAGGCTTTGTTCCCTGCCACTGAAAAAGCTGCTTTATTTTGGGGTAGAACCACCAACATCCTCTTTTCTTCACCTGGCTGACCCTGTGGTTTATTCCTGGCTAATTCCCTCCTCTGGTTAATTAGAATATTAAGCATGAAAGTTGTTTTCTGTGCTGCAGAAGTTGAGAGTATCTTTGACAGGATTAGACTAACATTGGGAACAGGTAAAAAAAAAAAAGACATGGATGCAGTAATTTAAAAGCCCCACAAATAATGAGATTCAACAGGTCAGGAGGCTTCTAGGGGTTTAAATTAAGGAATCAGCACTTTGTTTTATTCTATTTTATGTCCTGCTTCCCCAGTCATCAAATATTTGTAAATTCTCCTGTCTGCTTCCCCAGTCATCAAATATTTGTAAATTGAATACCCTTGAAAGGGGGTATTTACACAGAAAACTCACACTTAAAATCTCCTATCACTTGACACTGCTTTAAATCACACTGACATTTGTGCTATGTACTCATTGTGCTATGTACTGTGCTACTGCCCTCAAAAGTTGATGGGAAATGTGTAAGAACATTTATTAGGAAGCAAAATAGGAAGGCAGCAAATTGGGGAATGAAGGAATAGTGGAAGAAAGTCCTAATAGGGAGAGTGGAAGAAAGTGTTCTGAGGTGTATTCCAAAAATAAACAGCTAAACAAATAGGTTTAAAAGTCATCATCTGCATTTGGGAACTTGTGAAATCACTGAAATTATCTCTCCTGCCCAACTGACAGGAGCTCACTAGAAACCATTTCAAGCCCTGCTGACAATTCCTTAAGGCACACGAGTACTACACTTAAAACCAGATGGTTCTGCAGCTGCCAGCTCCTTGTCATACCCAGTAAATATAATAATCAAAGGACAAAGAGCTCTTTCTATCTGCCCCGATTGAACTGGATCTCGCTTTCTTCAAAGCTCTACCTTTGGCCTTTACTTGACAGTGCAATTAATTAAACAGCTGAAAACAAGGCAAGCAGAGGTCAGCTCTGTGCTGCCAACCACCCCCTTCCACCCTTTAAATGGCAACAGCAGAGGCTCCAGCTCCATCCAACCCAACTGTAATTACAGGTGACGGGCAGCTCTTCCATCAAAAAACTCCTCTCTGCAAATTAAGGGCTCAAGCAGAATTAAGTGCATTCAATATCTGTGATTTTTAGAAGGAATGGCATCATTTTAAAAGATTTTCAATTAGCATGAACTGCATTGTTTTAAAACAGGCATTTAAGAATTACTGTGAGGAACTGCATCATTAAAAAGAGATTTTTGAAAAACTACTCTAAGGAAGTGCATCCTTTGGAAATATGTTTACTTATCACTGAATTATAGGGGTTGGAGGGACCTCTGAAGCTCAAGTCCAACCCCTCTGCGGCAGCAGGAACACCCAGGGCAGGACACACAGGAACGTGTCCAGACGGGTCTTGAAAGTCTCCAGAGAAGGAGACTCCCCAGCCTCTCTGGGCAGCCTGTCCCAGGGCTCCCTCACCCTCACAGGAAAGAAGTTTCTCCTCATGTTGAGGTGGAACTTCCTCTGTTGTCACTTGGTGCCATTCCCCCTCGTCCTGTCACAGGCACCACCAAACAGAAACTGGCCCATTCTTGCCATCTACCCTTCAGATGTTTATAGATATTAATGAGGTCCCCTCTTAGTCTTCTGAAGACTAAACAGCCCCAGGTTTCCCAGCCTTTCCTCATATGACAGATGTTCCAGTCCCTTCATCATCCCTGTAGCCTCTGTTGGACTCTTTCCAGCACATCCCTGTCCCTCTGGAACTGGGCAGCCCAGAACTGGACACAACCCTCCAGATGTGGTCTTACTAGGGCAGAACAGGGGGAGGAGAACCTCCCTTGACCTGCTGGCCACACTGTTCTTCATGCATTCCAGGATACTACTGGTTAAGCTGAAAATGCCTGGGGCTGTAACACATTTCAATGATTCCCAACACCAGGGGGGCAGAGCAGCCCAGGGCTGGGGAGCATTTTGGGCTGTTTTGGTTCCTTTTGCTACGTTTCCTTCCAGGAGGAAGATGAAGAGAAGGGGCATTTCTAGAAGCTAAGCAGCTTTACAGGAAAAGTGAGGTGCAGATCCTCTCAAGGTGCTCTACAAAGAATGTTTGCAGTCTATAGTGTCTTAATTACATGCAAAGCTGTTTGCTCATCTAATAGCACCAAATCACACACCCTTGCAAGTCTTGTCACTTGCTTCTCCTTTTGCCAAACTTCAGTTGCAGATTTTTATCTAAGCTTTCATGCTGGGAAGTTTAATTGTAAACAAAGTTAAAAAAAAAAACAAAACAACAAAACAACAACCTGGAAATTGCTCCTTTCTTTATTTCCCAGGACAGAAAGGTTTCTATTTTGCTCCTGAGTTAGGATAACAATCATGTCTTTACTGCTAAGCTTTGTTGGAGCACTGGATGCTAATATCACAGGGTAAAATGTGGGCAAGGAGAAATGTGCTAGACTTTAACACCTACTTAATTCAAGCTTTTTTGGAAAGTTTTATTGTGCCACCACAAGAGGCAATTTACAGCAGAGTTCAGATTCTTTAAAAAAAAAAAGACATTAAATTGCCCATCCTTAGGCAAAGTTAAACACACACCTTGTTGTAGCTAAAAGGTATAAAAATGACATTTTTAATGCTCATTGAAGGGTTGCATTACTTTACCAGAAACACCACCAATTAAATCTGAACATTGTCAGTAACTGGCATGACAGACTGTTTCAAGCATCTATAAATATCTCGGAGTTGTTCAGGGTATCAGAAGAGAAATTAGAGAAATAAAACTCCTAAATATAAACCCAACTTCTGGTACTTAAGAGAAATTGCACAGTTCTTTAGAACTTCATTATGAAATAAAGCTTCAGTACCTTTGTAGCTGCCTCCAAGAACTGCTACTGTCAAGAACTGGGAGCCATAAAGTCTTGCACTGAGTTTACCAGGCTTGGCACGGTGTTTCCTCGGGACCCAGGGAAGGTTTCCATGGAAAGCTGCACCCACCTCAGCACTGCCATGAGGGAACTTTCAATTTCCTTCCTCTACCCAACAACATGGCTTTCTAAAACTCAGTGGCACCACCAGCAACACTGACAGCACTTTGCATTGCTAGGGATTTAGGGTAGAAAATAAAAGGGGGGGGGGAAGTTTTATAGGCAGATAATCCATGTGATCCATGAGTAAAATGCTCTTTCCTGGACCACATCTGAACTTCCCATCTGTGGGAAATCAGAGCATCATCCTTTGAACAGGACAGAGGGAACAAAAACCTGGCTCAGATCAATATACAAGCCAGTAATGAACTTTCCAAGGCAATCCACACATAAACTTACCCCTTGGCTTCCTTGAAACTGGATTACTGGTTTTGATGTCACAGCATCCTACAAAAACAAGTGAAAAAAAAAAAAAGGGAGGTTACCTTAGAGAAATTTAAAGCTCCAGTATTCACTGCCAAAAAATACTCAGCTTGACTTTTCACTTATACTTCTTTTTAAAGGAAAAGGTTTGGGGAAATACACAAAATTCAAGCAAGGAAATCCACAACCTCCTGCAAGTGATTTCTTCCTAGAAAAGGAATGAAATTATAACATCACCAGAGGTTCAACAACATCACTTTTGAAAGTCATTTAACCTTGATTTCACAACATCTCCAAGATGACACCTGGGTGGGCTACACTTGGTTCCCTCGTGACCCCCTAAGCCACATTTTAGGCCCAGAACAGCTTTGCTATCTCTCTTGGGTGCTTATGTAAGTTTGGAGTTAAACAGTGGATATTTGAGGGGAAAATTTATTCCAGTTCTAAGCCTGAGAAGGCACTAAACACATTTTTTCCAACAGAAAACTGGCAATTCACTGGAAAAGCAAACGGCAGCTTCGCTGCAAAACCCTGCTGGGACGTTGCCCGTTTTGACCATCAGCCTCTTCCTCCACACTCATCTGCTCACATTTCCAGTCCAAAAGCCCTTCCATCTGCTCAAGACACAAACTGGGGAAGTTTTATAGGCAGATAATCCATGTGATCCATGAGTAAAATGCTCTTTCCTGGACCACATCTGAACTTCCCATCTGTGGGAAATCAGAGCATCATCCTTTGAACAGGACAGAGGGAACAAAAACCTGGCTCAGATCAATATACAAGCCAGTAATGAACTTTCCAAGGCAATCCACACATAAACTTACCCCTTGGCTTCCTTGAAACTGGATTACTGGTTTTGATGTCACAGCATCCTACAAAAACAAGTGAAAAAAAAAAAAAAAAAAAAAAAAGGGAGGTTACCTTAGAGAAATTTAAAGCTCCAGTATTCACTGCCAAAAAATACTCAGCTTGACTTTTCACTTATACTTCTTTTTAAAGGAAAAGGTTTGGGGAAATACACAAAATTCAAGCAAGGAAATCCACAACCTCCTGCAAGTGATTTCTTCCTAGAAAAGGAATGAAATTATAACATCACCAGAGGTTCAACAACATCACTTTTGAAAGTCATTTAACCTTGATTTCACAACATCTCCAAGATGACACCTGGGTGGGCTACACTTGGTTCCCTCGTGACCCCCTAAGCCACATTTTAGGCCCAGAACAGCTTTGCTATCTCTCTTGGGTGCTTATGTAAGTTTGGAGTTAAACAGTGGATATTTGAGGGGAAAATTTATTCCAGTTCTAAGCCTGAGAAGGCACTAAACACATTTTTTCCAACAGAAAACTGGCAATTCACTGGAAAAGCAAACGGCAGCTTCGCTGCAAAACCCTGCTGGGACGTTGCCCGTTTTGACCATCAGCCTCTTCCTCCACACTCATCTGCTCACATTTCCAGTCCAAAAGCCCTTCCATCTGCTCAAGACACAAACTCCATGGAATTTCAGCCTCTTTGCTTTGCAACTGCACTTTTTCCCCTTCAAACTCTTCCCCGAGGTTTCAAGTATAGGGATAGAAATAACAGATGCAACCCAAGCCACACTAAGTTTTTGTAACTTCCATGTCAGGAGAATTGTGGCTGGATTTGGTTTATTTCCAAAGTCCCATAAAACATTCTGAGATACACTAAATCCACCCTCCTGCAGCACAGGGGTTGTGCTCCAAGGGGTGGAAAACCACACTACCTGGGGGATCCCACCATGAATTGATGGGACAGGAAGAATAGGAGGATCCCAACGGGACAGGATGATCTACAAACAGGTTGGAATGTCATTTAGGAATGAGGGTGTGGCCACATTTACAGGTGACATTTTCACAGGAAAAACATCAAGATGAGTTTAAGAGGCAAAGAGTCCAAACAGACGTTTTTGGTGCATTTCTAGTGTAATTTTTTGTATCACAGCACCTGCATCTCTCGGCACATCACGAAGAACCACCTCGACTTCCCCAGGGTTACAGAAAGAGACGTTTACATTTAGCAGAAAATGCGTTAACAGCTTAAAAGCCTGTGAAGTTTATCATCCCTCATAAAACCTTCCCAAATGCTCTCAGCCCAGGAGTGAAGAATCTTAAACCCCAACATGCTGATATTATTAAAAAAACCCAAATTCACCAGCAAGAAAATATCCTTCTAGCACAGATGAATAAGCTCACACCAAGACCAGCCCATCCAAGATGATTTAACAGGTCTGCATCATAACTCCAATTGGCCTGAGACATTTATGAGAGTGAGTAAAGCAACAACAAGTCTGAAGCTGACAGGGCTCACTGTGCTGTTGTTTTACAGACCTGAAACAACCTTTCTAAAAAGCAACAATAAACAACATCTTGCTCTTGGTACAGAGATCACTGAATTCCTGGAGTGCCACGACACTGCATGCCACAGCACGTTGCTCATGGACAGACTGGCCAGCTCTCTTGGTCATAGTGTCAGCATGTGCTGTGCAATGAGTCCAGAAATTTGTAGGAACATACTTGGGCAAACAAGGATTTGAAACATTGAAGAAAAAAAATCTAGATTAAAAAAACAAGTAAGTAAAAAAATCTGAATGTGGATCTTGTACAGCTGCATCTTGGACAAGAAGATCTTTAAGGTCCCTCCCAACTCAAACCATTTTATGGCTCTGTGAGATTATTTTAGGAGGGATTTGTGAAGTTCTGCAATTAATTCTGGAGAATTACTTAAGTGGAATAAAAGGGGATGTGAAGCATATAAGTAGAATAACGAGGCAGTAACAATATAAAAGTACTGTTACACAAATCAGGACAAGCTTTAATTACAGAACTTCTAAATTCCCTAATCTACATACAGAATGAAGTGACATGTATCATCTCAAACTTAAATATGAGTGTTCAGGTGAGTTAATTTTGGCTTTCTTTCCTTAAAACCCTGTAATCCAGGCTTTCCAGGCTCCCAAGCTGGCTGTGCCTGGGGGCTGCTGGGCTTTGGGATCTGCCCTTCAGGAATATCAGACATTGATCAGACATTGGAATGAGCTGCCCAGGAGTCCCCATCCCTGGAGGTGCTTAAGGAAAGACTGGATGTGTTTCTTAGTGCCATGGTCTGGCAGATGTGGTGGTGTTAGGTCATAGGTTGGACTTGATGATCTCAGAGGTCTTCTCAGAGGCCTTTTCCAGCCTCAATGATTGTGTGATTCTGTGAATATCAATGTTCTAACTCCCCGCCATGGTGCACAGAAGGGACCTCAGGGAAGAGCTGGACACCGAGAAGTCACTGCACTGCCTGAGCTCCCCTTTTAGGGAGAGAAGGGGAAGGCTCTTGGCTCCTCAGCAACACCAGCCCTGCAACTCCACAGGCAACGCTTCCCTCAGCTGATGCCCAGTTCCCTGGCTACAGGTCATTTGAGGATGCTCAGGGAAGAAAAAAAAACACACCCTAACCTAATTAAGGATATGAATTTAAGTACTTCTATTAGATGAAATTAAATTCCTGCATGGACACCTTCATTCAGAATAAAAGCAAACAGATGAATTAAGCTAAACCAAATTCAATTTCTATCTTCAGTTCATTTGGGTTAACTTCCCTGAATGTTCTTGTGTGGACAAACCCAAATTTTAAAGAGCTCCTGCTACCCTTTCAAAAATCCCTCTGTCATCTTCTAAAGAGCCACCTCATTTTTTTTTCCTTAGTGATGCTGAGACAAGGAACCTCCTTCATTAGCTTCCTAGAAATGCCATCCCATCCACCTCCAGTGGGAACAAGGTCTTTCCCTCTTTCTATCTAACCAGTCCCACCCTCAGCCCCAGGACAGGACTGTGGTGCTCCTGGGCTGCAAGTTTGACCACCAAAGCATATGAACTCCCAGGGTTCAGGGAATTCTTGGTAAATTGAGGATGCTGATGAAACCCCACCTTTGTGTTCAATTAAGAGGCAAAACAAGACAGATGTGTTTGAGCAACAAAGCCACCTGCACAGCCTTATCTTCCAGCTAACAGATTCCAGCTTCATTCCTCCATGAGGCATATTTAATAAAAGCTATTGGGAGCTGATGAGGATAAAGACAAAAAAATCAAAGCAAGAAAACAATAGTTCAAGTATTTTAACCTAGCCACCTGTCAGTTCTACAGGTTTTCTGCTGCCCTGGGTCCCAGATGTTCACCTCTGCAGTGAACACACTTGTCCCTAATGATGACAGCACTGAGGAAGAGGTCCAGGCAACAAGTGTGGCTGGAGGGGCAGGGAACAAGTGACTGCCAGGCAAGGAGGATGGATTTCTATACTGCACATGCTGATAGCAAGTAAAGCCCCTTGAAACACATTCAGAGGCAGGAATGACACATCTGCTTCAGCTCACCATTGTTTCAATAAAGGCTTCCTGAGAGGTTAGCAATTCATGACCACGTCTTCACTGTTTGCTCCTTCCTACAATGGAGCTTTGAGAAACTGTGTCAAGCTTCTTCCCATCTTACCCTAAGAGCAAATCAACTCTTAATAAAGTCAGAAGTCCTTCCTGCAGCCCAACTCAATGACCCAGAGCTCTACAGGAATAACTTCCAAAAGAACATCTCAACTGCAAACATGTGGCTGTGCTTCTCCAAGATCTGCCCAAACTTCCACTGCCAGCTCCACCTTATCTACCTGACCTGCAAACAGACCCTCAAGAGGAGCCTGAACAGGCCCCAGCTGCTGTGAGGTGACAACCAGTATTTTATTCCATAAAAAGTCCCTTATTTGCCATGTGGAAAGAGCATTCCCATGCTTGCGTGCCCAATTCACCACCTTCCACAGCTCCTGCTGTGTTCTTTGGGCACGATGGAGAAACGAAGCAGCCATCTCATAACACCAAAGCTCTGCTCCGGGATGCAAACATGAATCAGTGCTTTTTGTCAGACAGTCCCTCCAGATCCATCAGGTTATTTCAGAAGTCATGAGATTCATAAAAAAACCCCAAAAAAACTCATTCCCAAAGCTCCCACAAAACATTTGTCTTTTATTAGCATGGTATTAAGCTCCTCTTCATCCTCAAGCTTTCCTGGGCTAGAGGAGAGCTGGTAACCCTTTAATACATCCTCTGAAAGCTCAGAGAAGCAGTTCCTCCCACTTAAGCACTCCAGATCTGACACATGGAAGCTTAAGTAGAGAGTGGAAGAAACAAGAAAGTCTCAATAAAAGACAAAAAACTTCATGTAACACTTATAAAGTGGTTTTATCAGGTACGATCAAAGCTGAATGGGATATTCCTCCTACACAGGACCAGAAAGGACATTTGAAATCCTCTGGTCAAGTAACCAGTTGGAAACCTCCCTGACTCTTCAGGGAAATACAGATAATTAAAGAATATGTTGTTTTGAGAAGTTCTGTTATGCATTTACTGGAATTTCTACTGGAGGCAGAGTTATATGGAAAATATTTGCCTATACTTAGGACCAGTGTATTTGTCTATTTTCTTGA